AGATGAATCTGTTTGTTTTCCTGGCAGTCCATGGTACATTCAGTACCCTTCTCCAGCACCACAGCTCAAAAGCATCCACTCTCCTTCTGTCCTCCCTAGTCATTGTCCAACTCTCTGATGCATAACAAGTGATTGCAAATACCATGACCTGTATCAGGCGCACCTTCGTCTCCAGAGAGACACTGTTGCTCCTGAGTACCTTTGAGAGGTCCCTAACGGCAGACTTTCCCATCGCGATACGCTTTTTGATTTCCTGACTGCTGGTACCAAGAGTGTTGACTGTGGAGCCGAGCAAAGTGAAGCTGTGAACACTCTCAATCTCTTCGTCATCCATCCTGACGCTGCCAGTTGGTCCAGTGGCGAGAATCTTTGTCTTCTTGACGTTGAGCCTTAGTCCATACTGAAGGCTGCAGTCCTTGACCCTTCGCAGCAAGTGCATGAGGTCCTCCTCAGTTGAGTTGGGGTCCTCCAGCCTCCCTCCGGTGCTGGAGTTCAGGCCAGCATGCCTACGCGGCCTCTGCGACCGCTGGCGGGGTTTCACACTTTACTCTATTTTTTTAAAAAAATTTATACTGGTTTAAAGAAAAGAGGAAAGGTCCAGTGTGAAGTACACCTTACTTTTTAAACTTGACAGCATTTCTGTTTAGCACAGCAGATTTCACCAGTAAACATGTCTGTAGATTTTTTGACTGCTGTTAACATTAATGGTGATTGGGGATCTAAGTAAGATGAAATAGTTGATGACTTCAATCTTTTTTCTATCATAATGGTACCTATTGGTCTATTGGTTGAGATTTTTGTTTTCGTGATGTTAAAGTGTAATCCATATTGAAATGATAGTCTCTGATCCTTTTAAGTAAGCGTTTCATTTTCTACAAGCAAAGTGTTGTCTCTGTAATGCAGAGTTTTGTGTTTTTTTAATGAATCTTGCTCCAATCCTCATGCCACATTTTTCTTCATATAGTCCTCGGTCTTAGTAATTTTCATGGTGTAGCTGATTAAATGGTTACAGAAAAGGCTAACACCTTTCCTGCTTTTCAGACAGCTGCTGTTTTGTCTACGGATAAGTTTTGCATGAACACAATTAACTCTTCTGGGATTTCCATTCTTCTGATTGTTAGCCACAATTTGTTATGACCCACATGTTCAAATGCCTTTTCATAGAAAACACAAGTACACATTCTTCTGGTATTCTCTGCTTTCATCCAATATGCATCTGACATCAACAGTGACATCCAGTAGTGCTACAGCCTCTTTTGAATCCAACTTGAATTTCTGTCAGTTCTCTAGCAATATACTGTTTGGTCACTTTTGAATAATATTTGGCAAGATTTACTTGCATGTGAAATTAATGATAGTATTTGATATTTCTATACTCTGTAGGATCACCCTTTTTTTTCTCTCATGAAACGTATTGTTTATTTTCCGCCAACCTTATTTCCACTTTTTAAAAGACAGTTTAAGACCATTCCGTGGTTGTGCCGACCCACTCAGTGGCCTGAGCGGTGGGGGCTGCAGACCAGTCTTCAGTTGCGGGCTGAGCGCGCCAGTCTTCCGTAGGGAACTATTCTGTTCATGTTTCTAAAAAAACATCTCAAGTTCCTTTCTAGTATGTTTTTGTTTCTGCAATCAAGTGATGAAAACAGCCCTGTAATCTATAACACCAAAGGGCGCAGACACAGAGTTAGGACCATTTCTTGGTGACACTGAGATGCTGGAGCTAGTCTGCAACAAATTTGTGGGCAGGGGTGGGGGGAGAAACTTGGAAGTGCTGGTCGCCTTGATGACCTGAAAGCCTTGTGGGCTGCAGGGTGCCCATACTCCTGCTCTGCGGTGAGGTAGGGTGTGCTCAGCCCGTAAAGGTTCCCTGCCTCAATTTCCAGGCGGTGGATCATGTTCTGTTTAGAAAGTAAAGACACAAGGCCTCCAGTGCTTCCTGATCCACTGTCTTCCAGGAATGCAATTGCGGCCCAGGAAGGAGGTCAGGAACATGGTGCCAGCTCGCTCCACAGCCAGCTAGCTTCCACCTCAAATCTCTTCTTGAGATAGTTTTTAAAATTTAACTGAGAGAAACTGAAGGTAGTATTTTGGGGTTTGTGACATTGTTTAATTTTCTTCAGCTTCAGTTTGAACTTGCATTTGAGGAGTTGATGGTCTGCTCCACAGTTAAGTAGTTGATAGTCTGTTCTAAGGTCCTTGGCCTTGTTTCGACGGCTTATACTGAACTTCTCCATTCACTTTTTCTTCTGATGGGATAAATACTATTCCTGTGTAATTTATCAGGTAACCTCTTAAGTGTTTAGTTGCTGATTATGGGGTTTTTTTTGTTTGCTTGCTTTTATTAATATTAATGAAAGTTTACAGAGACTTCGGATTTCCATTCATTCATTGTTGCACTTTTCTCCCTGCCCAACCTCCCACACCTAGTTTGCTCTTCTCTTTGAAAAAGAAAAGAAAAAGTATTTTATTGTTATACAAGTCTACTCCACTATGTAGCCTTCATTCTGGACTCCTGTCATGACAATAATACCTAATCATATATCCCTTGTAAACAGTTCTCTCTCTTATCTGTTTCAATGCAGTATACATAATTTATCCCATCTTTTTCAGTTTCCCCCCAACATAATTGTAATTAATAAATTCTTTGCCATCTCCAGCCTCATTTCTGCCACCAAGGCCATATTTTCCAGTTACCATTCCTTCTTTTTCTCCAACTTTTGCATAACAGTCACCAGTTATTATTAATGCATCTTTTTTTTTTCTTTTTCAAAAATTTTTTATTTTATGTTGGTTTGCATACAAAGTTTGTATACATTGCTTTTCACAATATCCGTTATTCACATTGTGTTTCATACTGTCATTCCTATTTACTATGTTTTATAAAATTAATCTTGAACTATGCCCACCGTTACCCCAAGCTTCTTGATCCCCACTGGATCCTTCCCATTTCCTTCATGCACCTCCTCCACACACCAAATTGTGCAACCCTATGATTTCCCCCTGCCTATCTTCACCCTTCTGCCCCCACCCCTTTCCCCTTGTGCATATTACTAGTTATCCTTCCATTTTTTTATAGTGGCCATAAGCAGTATTTATCTTTATGAGAGTGAGTTAGTCTACTAAGCATAATGTACTTAAGTCTTACCCAAGTTATGTAGTAATTTTTTAAATTGTTGCTACTGAGTGCTGCATAATATTCCATCATGTGAACTTAACACAATTTCTCAACCCGTTCTATTATAGGTAGACACGTTGGTTGTTTGCTTATTATTAATGCATCTTGATTGCTTGTTCTGATACTTTCACACTGCAAGATTGGTAGAAGTCCTTAATTTCTTCATCTTTGGCTTTAGTTGTTAGTGAGTAGTAGTTGTATTAACATTCTTAAATGCATGTGTATAGTATTCTGACCCTCACAGTATTGTGCTTTAGGTTAGAACTTGAAATGCTTTTTTTGACGATGAGTGTGATACCATTCCTCTTTAATTTTTCGTTCCTGGCAGAGTCGATCATCTGAAGGTCTGACTCGGAATGGCCAGTACCTGTCCATCTGAACTTACAAATCCGGAGGCTGCTCATCTTTATGCATTCAATTTCGTTTTTTCCAAGTTTTAATTTTCCAATATTCAATACTTTGTACATTCCATGTTACAGTTACTAATGCATGTTTGCAGTTATTCTCATTTTGAGTTTTGTCGTGTCAGCAGATGAAGGTCCTTCTTTGGGTGAAAGAACCCAATTTTTGCTCCGAGTTGTTAAGTTAGACTCTTCTTTGAAGAGATAGCTCTTCCCCAGTCACATTTTGGGTGTCTTTCAGAGATGTGCCCTTAAGCCTGGGGGGGTCTCATCTTCCAAAAAATATACCTCAAAATGTTCTTCTGTTATTCATAGGGTTTTCCAACGCTTTTCTTTCAGAAATGTGTAGTCAGACCTGTTTCTTTCTCTTAATCTGGAAGCTTCCTGAAACCTGTCCATCATAGGTAACCTGGTATTTGAAATACCATTGTCATTGCTGCTTCCAGCATCGCAGCAACATGTAAGCCACCATAGTACAACAAACTGTCAGAGGAGTGGTGGAGATTGAGACTAGTTACTATTAAATTATTGTCATTAGGTCCCATTGCTCATATTGTCAAGGAATTTATGTTATTTGGATCTACAATCAGCATCTTTGTACCAGCAGTCAGAAGATCAGGAGACATAATTTATTGGGAAAGTCTGCTGCCAGAGACCTCACTAAATTACTGAAGACTAAGATGTGCCTGATTCAGGCCATGGTGTTTTCATTTGCTATGCATATGAGAGCTAGAGAATGACTAAGGATGACAGAAGATTTGTTGCCTCTGACATGGAGAATACGAAATATCCCATGAACTGTCAAAAGAACAGCAAAGTTTTGGAGAAGGTGAAGCCAGGGTGCTCGTTGGAGGTAAAGATGACGAAACATCATCCCACATACTTTGGCCATGTTGCTAGGAGAGGATATTCCTTGGAGAGGGCCATCATGCTTGGAAAGGTGGATGGTCAGCGAAAACAAGGAAGACCCTCAACCGGACGGATTGACAACAGTGACTGCTGCAAGGGACTCTAGTGTATCAGAGATGAGAAGGATGCCACAGGTAGGACAGGGTTCAGATCTGTTGTTCATAAGGTCACAATGAGTCGTACTTGACAGCACCTAACAGCAACAGGTTCCCTTGAGTCAGTGGCAACTCAGAGCAGCAGTCTGGGACACCGCTCAAAACACTGCCTGGTCCTGTGCCGTCCTCACAGTCGGTGTGTGTGCGGCCCTTGCTCCAGCCACAGCGCTGTCAATCCATCTGGCCTAGAATCTTCCTCTTAGTCACTGATCCACCAGAATGCTGCTTAGAAATGAGGAGGGCACTTTGGGCATATTCTCAGCAGGGGCCAGTCCTTTGAGAAAGATGTCACGCTTGGTTAAAGATAGAGGGTCAGCAGAAAAGGTACTATTCGTTATTTCAATGTTTGTTTTATTTTAGGATTCTGTTCGTGTAGTCTTGGGGAACTTGGACAATCTGCAGCCATTTGCCACAGAACATTTCATTATATTTCCATGTATCCTTTTTTTCCTGGCTGGAAGTGAGCTCACATTGTACTTTCAAACAGAATCAGCAAAGTGATGGGCAGTTGAGGGGATTAGTTAGGGACAAGACCACAGACAGGCACTCGTTGCTTCTCTCGTTCCTTAACACCACTCTCCAGATAAAAGCAAATGGGAGAGAGTCTCCCACCTGAAGTTCAAGCATGGGAACATCCCTTTGGTCCCCTACCCTTTTGTTTTCACTCTGTACGTGGAGATGAAATGCTTTCATGAACACCTGTCATCTGGTAAGCAGACAGAAGGGTGGGTGGTAGAGAAGAAAAAGGAGGACAGTTGACTGTCTATGGAGCAGCAGAGCCATCTGAGATCCAAAAAATGTTCAGCCTGACTGGACCTCAGCGTCAGATGGTCATAGACCCTCAGCTGGACTGTCTCATGCAAATCCTGATGCCATTGCCCCTTAATACCTGTATGACTTTAAAGAAATTACTTAATCCTTATCAAGAATAATGGTGTCTGACTCTGAATTGTTGAAAGGATTAAATAGATAACTATTGGCAGAAAGGAAACACAGAGTCTGACGTAGAGTAATTTCCCAGTGAGAAATGCCTACTACGAGAACACTCCTCCTTTCCGAGTGCTCAGTGACCTTCACTTTAGTGGCCTCTTAAAAGTCTCTCCTGATTTTTAATCTCTGAAGACCAAGGTTATTTTTACTCACAGAGGAACAAGTGGGCGCCTACTAGTTTGATTTGAAAAGGCTTTGCTTTAAAATGTCTCAATGCATTTGCCACGGATGCCTGAGCTGTCCTTTATATCTTTGCAAGTGAGGATCATCTCCCTTTTAAGTGGCATGTTGTTACACAGAGCTCAGGGTGAGTCAGACCCTTTTGAACTCATACGTGACAATGGTTGGGAAACAGAGAGGAGAGTTTGAAGACACACTTTTTCTAGGAGATAAAATGTCAAGCAGAAGGGAGAAAGCCACACAGGGTAGTTTGTCCCGAGCCAGTTCAGAGAATAAAAAGTGGACAGAGGTTGAGGTGAAGCCAGATCTTGATCCATTAAGATGTTTATATTTCCTATTGCAGATAAACCAGTAAGCTATCATCCTCTTGAATTGGTAAGTTTGCCTTTTCTGTGCAAGATGAAAACTGCCTCCATCAACCCCTGTTGTACAGAAAGTCTTGTTCTCATCTCTTACTCTTACTTTGTACCCTTGATTGCCTCCCATATCCAGTCTGAATTGTAGGTATGTCACCTTTTGTCCCCTTGACTAGACTTCTCAGACTATGTCTCTAGCAGAATCATGGCCCTTATTCCTGAAGCAGATGTTAATAGTTGCCTTGGCATCTTCAAGATAGGCAGTTCTCTTCACTTTGCCCTCATGAGCTGTGAGCAACTCTGAAAAGAGAGGAGGCAGAGGAATCTGGTTTCTCTCTGAAGGTACCAGATGAGAAGAAAACTGCAGGAGCCATGAAGAGGAAACGAAGATTCACAGACATGCCCAGCACCCCCAGGAAGTCAGAGCTGGACAGGTCAGTGGTGCTGGGAGAACAGCTAAAGACTGCATCGTGGCTTGGTCTTGTCAGCTGCTGCTGCTGGTGGAGCTGCCCTTTGAATGAGTTGTTTGGTCTCTCAGGGCATCATTGGCACCTGCCTGTTCCAGTGGGTGGGCTAAGGAAGGTAGGGAAGTTAATATTTGCAATATTAATCCAGCAGAGCCCCTCCTTGACAAAGCAGGATTCCTCAGGGCACAGGCTGAGCAGAAGTACAATCAGATGTGTACAGATGAATTCCACTATGGTGTCTGCTTTGATAATACAGTCAGAAGGCAGGAATTTATCAAGGCCCAGAATATTCTATAAAACACAGGGAAACCTACAAAAACATGTCAACTATGTATATAAATTCAGTGTTAATATGAGAAAAAAAAAACCATAGGGAAATCTAAAGAGTGAGAATGAATACAATATAATTGTTTTACACAGTAAGAAGGAAGCTTTTGGAATTCTACCTTAAGAAAGTGGTGATGATGGTGGTTATTGTTAGGTGCTGTCACAACTCACAGTGACCTCCTGAACAGCAGATCTGAACCTGTCTTAGCCACCCTCACAATCTCTGACACACGTGAGCCCATTGATGCAGTCTCTATGAGAGGCCACCTTGTTGAGTCTTTCTTTTGCTGAGCCTCCACCTTTCCAAGCATGATGCCCGTCTCCAAGGAATAGCCTCTTGTAGCAACATTCCCAAAGTATGTGAGAAGAAGCTTCATCACCCTTGCTTCCAAGGATCACACAGGCTGCACCTTCTTCAAGATGTTTCTGTTTGTTTTTGACAGTCCAGAGTATTCAGTATTCTTCTCTAACACCACAACGCAAAGACATCCATTCTTACTCTGTCATCCTTATTCATTGTGTAGTTCTCAGATGCATAGAAAGTGATTGAAAGCCCATCACCTAATCAGGTGCACCTTAATCTTCAAACTGAAGGGAGCTCTAGTGGCCTAAGTGGCAAGACGCTGCTCTGCAATCCCAGAGGTATGCAGTTCAAATCCACCAGATGCTCTGCTGGAGAAGGAGGGGGCAGTCTCCTCCCGTACCAGTCAGATCTGATTTGACGGTACACATAAAAATAATACAATAAAAAATAAACAAAAAAATTTAAAAAAAAATCTTCAAACTGACATCATTGCTCTTCAGCAATTTGGAGAAGTCCCTAACAGCAGTCTTGCCTAATGCAATATGTCTCCTGACCCTGTGGTACCAAGGGTGTTGCTTGTGGACCCAAGTGAGATGAAATTATAGACAGTTTTAATTTTTTCTCCATCTATCATGATGTTGCTTATCAGTCCTGCACTGAGGAGTATAGTTTTCTTAATTTCGAGGTGCAGTCCATATTAAAGGCTGTAGTCTTTTCTTTTTTGTTTTATTTTAAAGGCTGTAGTATTGATCTTCTACAGCAAGCGTTTTAAGTCCTCAGTCTCGGCAAGCAAAGTTGTGTCATCTGCAATCACACGGACTGTTGATGAGTCGTCTTATCCTGATTCCTCCTTCTTCATAGAGTCCAGCTTCTCAGATCATTTTGCTCAGCTTGTAGAGCGAATAGAGAGAAAGGATACATACTTCCCTGACATACTCCTTTCCTGATTTTAAACCGTCGTGTGTTCCCTTGCTCTGTTCGGACAGTAGCTTCTTGGTTGAGGTACAGGTTTCATATGAGCATAATGAAGTGTTCTGGAATTCCCATTCTTGCCCTTGTTAGCCATAATTTGTTATAATCCACACAGTCAATTGCCTTTGCGTAGTCAATGAAACACAAATAGACATTCTTCTGGTATTCTTTGCTTTTAGCCAGGATCCATCTGACATCAGTAATGCTATCTCTGGTGCCTCAACCTGTTCTAAACCCAGCTTCAACTTCTGGAAATTCCCTGTCAATGTACTGCTGTTGCTATTTTGGGATGATCTTCAGAAGTATTTTGCTTGCTTGTGATACTAATGAAATTGTTCAGTTAATTTCTCGTTCTGTTGGATCACCTTTCTTGGGAATGTGAACAAATATGGATCTCTTCCAGTCAGCCAGCCAATTAGCTGTCCTCCAAAGTCCCTGGCATAGAGTGATGAGCACATTCAGGGTTGCATGTTAGTTGAAACATGTCAGTTGGTATTGCGTTGATTCCTGGGGCTCTATTTTTTTGCCAATGCCTTCAATGCAGCTTGAACTTCTTCCTTTGTTACCATTGGCTCTTGTTCATATGGTACTTTGTGAAATTTTCCCATTTCAACCAATTCCTTTTTTTCCCTTATTTTTGACAATTTTTTTTTCATGCAATGACCCTGTGCATTCCTTTCATCTTCTTTCCCCCCTTTCCATCTTCTTTTATGCTTCATAAATCATTCAAGATTTTTCCTATAGTATTTGTCAGTATTGCAACTCCAAGCTTGAATTTGGTTTTCAGTTCTTTCAACTTGAGGAATGCCTTAAGAAGTAGTGCAGGTACTACTTTAATTTTTTAATTATTATTAATTTTAATGAAAATATGCAGAGACTTTGGATTTCCATTCATTCATTGTTGTACTTTTCTTCCTGCCTGCCCCTCCCCACCCAATTCACTCTTCTCTTTGAAAAGTAAAAGAAAAAATCTTTCATTGTTTTACAATCCCTCCCCCCAAGTCCATTCCACTATGTAGCCTTCACTTTGGACTCCTGTCATGACAATAATACCTAATCACATATCCCTTTTAAGCAGTTTTCTCCCTCATTTGTTTCAATTCAATATACATTATTTATCCCATCTTTCTCAGTCTCTTCCCCAACCCGATGTCACTCCTGTTTTACAACAGTGGCACTATGCAGTATTTGTCCTTTTGTGACTGAGATACTTCACTCAGCATAATGTCCTCCAGGGTCACCCATTTTGAATAATATTGCATGAGTTCCTTGTTTTTCAATGCAGCATAGTATTCCATTGTGTGAATATATCACAGCTTCTCTATCCATTCGTTTGTTGATGGACACTAAGGTTGTTTCCAACTCCTTGCTATTGTGAACAAAGCCATGATAAACATGGTGTGCATATATCTGCTTGGGTGGCAGTTATGGTCTCTTTGGGGTATATTCCCAGTAGTGGAATTGCTGGGTCAAATGGTATTTCTATTTGCAACTTTGTGAGAAAGCGCCATACCGCCTTCCACAGTGGTTGCACCAGTACTACTTTAAATAAGGGGGTATATCCATTAGTGAGGAGGGTGACCTTCTGTTGGAGGAATGTGGGGCACATCCCTAACATGTTGAGGCTGCTGTGATAGAAGCTGCTTATACTCTTGGGAAAAGAGTAAGTAACTAGGAGAGTTCATTTGTTCCAGTAGCATCCCAGCAAGAGCTACTGGTGTGATCCAAGGTGTGGTTTGCTCCCAGGACCAAAGTGTGTTCACCCTGGGCTTGTAAAACAGTGACTCTTTTCCCGGAACTGTGTACATAGGAGTGGAGGGAAGACCAAGAGAGATCTGAGGCCTGTGCCCCCAGATGTACATGTCACTGAAGACTGACCGTGGGAGCCAAGTGGACTGCGGTATGGAGAGAGGCTTGGCCCTGTTGTTTGACTTAATTTTCCATAGAGACAAGACCTCAGATCTTCCCTTTCTCTTGGCTTTGATGTACTATCAAGTATTTCAAATTAAAAAGCTTCATAGTTGCTCTCATTAACATTTCCTCTTCGTCAGCCTCGGATCCCCAAATGCCCCAAATTGGGGTTTACTGTGAATTCAAGCAGCACCCAAAGAGAATTTGGCTGCACAATGTACTCTGCAGGCCAGGAATGGTATTAAAAATAGCCAACCTGCTGAAATATTCATTTGGGCTCCATTTGCATGAAAGTGGGGTGGTGATGTCACTGCTAGTAACATTTCCTGGGCTTCCCCCCTTCCCTTCTATCTCAGGGACAATGTGGGAACATTCAGCCAAGACCCTACTGAAAAGCAGCCCCCTGTAAAAGCCAAGAAGGTAAGTAAGCACCAAAATGGAAGCTTCTAGTTACTTGGCCATCACTACTGTGTTACAGGTCGGGGTTCCTGTTACCAGCACTTCTTAGTCCTGAGTGCAGATGGAGTGGACTGGACTCGGTCTCTGGTTTCACTGTCTGCAGACCTGTCTGCACAACATTCCTCTCCTCGGCCCTTGCCATAGCCCATCCCCAAAGTCACTGTGTAACGTGCACATCAATGCATTCTTTTGTTGAAAGGTCCGCTTAGCTCAAAAAGCTGTTGCTGTACTCTACAGTTCACATAAGAAAACAGTCTGTATTGAATTGAGGTGGGATCCTGTATAGAATTTTCTCTCTGGAATCCTTTTTGTTTTCATCTACACCGAGAGAGGTTTGAATCTAGGAAAGTCTATTTTTTACAGATGAAATAGGGACGTACACCTGCAGGAGACAGGTCAGAACGAAAGCTCACAGCCCCATCGCAGCAGCCAACTACCTCACAATAGCATTCAGTGTAAGTTAGGGGGTCCCTTCCCCACTTAGATATTTATGGGTCTGCTGTTCCTCCATTTAAGAACTGCTTTTTCATAATGGCCCCTAAAATAGTACTCTCTTTCCTTTCCTCTCCTCTCCTCTCTAAATAGCTCTTAGCTGTTGTTCATGCCTTCTGTAAATCTTCCTTTTGTCTTCCTTTTCTCTGATCTCTCCAAGGATATTCTGATCCCAGTACCCCAGTTCTAACAGCTTAACTGCCTTAATTTCTGCAGTACCATTGAATGATAGATTAGGGAAAAAACATTTACTTGTGCATTTATTCAGCAGATTTCCGTTAGTGTCTACTCTGTACCAAACACTAGGGGTATCATGCTGTGCCCTAGAGACTCCAGCAGCACAAGGCTGGGTAGACACTCACAGGCAGATGTGGCATGTGCAGGGGTGGAGGAAGCACAAAGGGAACAGAGGTGGCCAGGAGAACTTGACCCAGAACAAGAGGGAGGGAACGTTCCCAGGATAGCTCCTGGTGGCTCCAAAAGCCAGGCCACGGGGCACGAAAGGCCAGTGTCCCCAGTGCTCAGCGTGCAGTGTGAGAGATGCTCCTACAGAAGTCAGCATGCCAGCTGAGGGACTCAATGGGACCTTGAGCTCCATGGGGACTGATGGGAATATTTTCAATAGAGGGGTCATAGGAGAAAGAGAGAGAAAGGAAAAAACTGGTCCCAAGAAAGGAACGGGCCTTTACTGCGTGGTCTGAAAGGGACGCCAAGTGACTGCACTCGGAGAAGGTCAAAATGGTGTGCGGGCAGTCAAGGACAGTTCCTTTTTATAAGGATTTTTAGGGAGGACTAGGGAAGATGGTATTTTGCTGGGAATTTGGGGTGAGGATCCTGTTCATTGACTTGGGTGTGGGCTTTTGTGATTAGGCTCCAGTGTCTGGTCTGGTTGCATTGGACATCAGGTTTCTTCAGGGAGTGATCAAGCCTGGGGGCACCTGCAACATTCTTCCTCCATCAAGTAACTGCCGTTTTCCAAAACTTACGCTGTCTCTTTATGAGGCAACTGTGTTGTGGTCAAGGAGCCCTGGTAGTGCAGTACTTAAAGAATTGGGATGTTAACTCAAAGGTTAGCAGTTTGAACCTAGTAGCCGCTATTCAGGAGAAAGGTGAGGCCATCTGTTCAGTCAAGATCCACAGCCTCCGAAACCCTACGGGGCAAATCTACGCTGTTCTGCAGGGTCACGAGGACGCAAAATTGCCTCAGTGGCAGGGGCTTGTGGCTGGGCGCGGGGGCACCCTCACCCTGTGCTGGCCCAGGTGTCGTCTGTCTTGGGGCTGGCTGCTTAGTTGAGGGAGGAGTGTACCCCGAGGGACTCAGAGCACTGCCTGTGTGGACAGGGTCAGAGGCCTGGGCCCCAGCCATGCCTTGGCCAGCTGACTCACCGACTTGAGTTTTAGGAAGCTGACTTCCCCTGTCCGATTCATTCCCCTTTAGAGAGGTAAAAAGACAAGATGAGAAAGGACTGGAGGGGTGCATGAGGCTCCAGAGAACAAAGGCACTTTAGACAACCGAGATAATTACTATTAAAGGAACATTTTCCTCACTCTCTATCCTTTGTGCCTTCCTATTCTTAGTTTGACACATCATCTCCTTCAAGAACAGGGCCCACAGCTTCTTACGCAACATAATTACCTTATCAACCTGATACTGGGTTTAAGTTAAAAAAAAAAGGAAAAAACCAAACCCCAAAACTCTGAACTGCAGCCCAACCAAAAGGAACCTGCTTATTGATTTTGACCCAAAGCCCGAAGAGGGTCTCACTGTAGACCTGGTTCCCAGAGAGCCTGTTCCTCCCAAGTTAACGTGAGCACAGTGGCTCTCAGTGCAAGTCACTTGAGCTGGAAAAATTGAATTTGCTCCTATGGTCCATTGCTTAATATTTTCTCTGTCTTTTGGGGGAAGTTTGGGTGTAGGATCACAGTCGGCATGGATCATGCACGTCTGAACACATTAGGAGCTTGTGCAGGGAAGACTTAGAAGAAGACGACATATGCCTGTTAAGGTCTCTTTCATAAGAGGGATTGAGGGGTGAACGGGGAGGATGGGCAGAGCCTTGCCCACTGGTATGTGGGGCCCCAGATTTAGTGATCCAGCATTCAGGAGGTTGAAGAGTAAGGCTGAGCAAATGCACGGCCCAGAGCAGAATAGACTGGCATGCCACTCTGAACCTCCCGAGGACAACCTGTGCCAGCTTTTCCGCATGGTCCCCGCAGTCTGTCTGCAGAGCCCACGATGGCTTCCCCCCTTTAGCCTGAGAAGTTCTCTTACAGTTTCAGGGAAGCGTCAGCACTCAGAGATCTTGTGAAACTGCTCTCCCTGCTGAGAGGCAGCTTCAGTCCTGTCCAGGGGCTTGGGCCTTCTGGGTTCCCGCCGCCAGCCACTGCAGATGGCTTTGCTTAGTGCCCCTCCTTACAGCAGGGTTTAAGTCCCAAACCAGAGTCTTGTTATCTACCCAAGCTAGAAACCATAGCTAGACCAGGCCCCTCTAAATCCCATCTCTGCTCTGACTAGGGAAGTCGGAGACATCTCTCTCCTCAGCGGCTCCTTTCACCGTTGCAGGGCCATGACCCAGGTGGCTGCCTGTCCATTCCAATTTGAGGGCTTGTGGAGAAGCCCCTCTTAGAACCACCTGCCCCTCTGGCCTGGATGGGGCTGCTCTCCTAGTCCAGCCGCCACCTCACCCTTGCAGTCTGAATCCCATCTGTAGAAATTCCTCACCAGCCAAACATTTCCAGAAACTCCTGCGGGCTGTTGGGTCGTTGAGTGCTCAGGTCTGGCTGTGAGCGGAGACTGCCAGTTGGCAGAGATTCTCAAAGAAAATCCATGAACTGTATTTCTATCAGGTGTTTCCGGGAGAATGTTCTGGGCTCAGAACCAGCTTGTAGGATGCCCCCTTCTCAGTGCAAAGGGAGTTCCATGGTGGTGGCAAAAGGAAGATCACATTAGGTATACGTGAGGGAGCTCTGGTAGCCTTGTGGCAAGAAGCTGTGCTGAAATCCCAAAGGTGCATTGTTTGAATCTACCAGATGCTCTGCTGGAGAAAGAGGGGCAGTCTCCGCCTGTGCCGTTCGGATCTGATTCAATGTTACACAACAAGGGGAAAAAACAAAGACCAGCATTAGATGTGCGGCTGCTTGGCACTCGTCATGTGGTGGTTGCCCTACACTCTGGCTGTCACATCTCTGAATTTACATTTTCTTGGCATTGTGCTTTGTGTATCGTGCCCCTGTCTAGCATGACCCATCACCCACTCCTCACCCCATTACAGTAGCACCCCAGTTGTCCACAAAGGCCCCAATCAAGCCTCACGTCCCTGCATAGCTGCCTTCACTAACCACACCTGGTCTATTGCCCAGGTGCCCACAGCACTTTGTAGCCCCAGGTTGTAGCCTTACCACAATGTGTTGGAATCGTTTGTGTATGTGTCATGTGTACCCAGGCAGCATACGTGCCTCTAAGACCGGCATATTTTTCCTTTATCTCCTGATTGCTGAAACCGCAGTGTTCTGTCCCTGGTAACAGTAGGCACTCAGTTACATAGTCTGGTAATCTGAATCCAACTCTGCTTGTTCTCAGCTCTTAGATTTTGTGGTTTGGGAGGGTTGGTGGGCAGGAAGTGGAAAGGGAGAAGGAGGAGAGTTGGAAGGAAACAGGCTGTGGAAGGATGCAGAGGCCCTGCCCGGGGTCTCCAAAGCCAGGTCCCAACACTGGTGTGAAGTCAGCTCGCTAGCTTGGAGCACTCGGACCACCAAGCCAACTCAGGGTAAAGTCTCAGATTTCTTCTCTTCTCCTTATCACAAGAGGGAAAGAAGAACTCAGCAGGAGTGGCAGGAGGCCCCAGCATTCGCCATCCCTGATGTCCAAGAGCAGGACCCGGGTAGGTTCAGCACGTTCAGACCCATTTGCGGTCGACAGCCAACCATGTCCCCTTTGGTCTAGAGTAAGCTGAGCTGCTCAGCTCTGAGTCTGGGCATGCTCCGGGTCAGGTGGGACACTGCCCTGGAGTCATGGAAGCCCCAGAGGGTGAGTGGTGGCATGTGTGGTCACCTCTGCTCTGGATGGTGAGGCTGCTGCTTGTGCATCACAGTCAGCTGGGAGGTAACAGGGCTGGGCGGGATGGGACTGCCCTCAGTCTTGTTGAAGAAGCATTTCTTGGAAGTCCTCAGGCACAGTGATCATTGAAGGTGCAAACAGACCATCTACAAGGGTTGGGACTGCACAGTGAGGTGTCCCCTTCCACCTTGCTCTCCTCCATGGGCCTGAGGGTCAGTACGGACGGCAAGGACTCCCTGAGCTGGCATATCAGCGACGGGTCCTTTGGCAGCTTGTCCTCCGTGTGCAGACAGACAGGCCGTGATGGGAGTGAACTGAGCACCTCTTACAGGGCCCGCCTTAGGCAGTTCTCAGGGTCTGAAGAGCAGCTTCCTGATCCCAGAAGATCACAACAGTCACCTGGCCTCCAGCAGGTCCATGCAGCCTGCGGAGGAAGAGCTTGTCTCTGCCTGCATGTCTTCCTTTGCAGGTTCTAAGTTGGAGGACAGCTTGGGCGGGCAGATGGCGTCATCACGGCCACAGAGCACTCCAGCTGCACCTCAGGAGCCTGTGGAGCTGGGGACCACGATGGGCTTCTTTGGGTTCCTAAGGTAGGACAGACTTGTCTCCTGCATCAAAGGTGGCCGGGTCCACTGCTGAAACTCAGCCCAGGATAAGGGAATTAGCCTTATTGTCCAGGAGAAGGCAGCGGAAAGGAGGCCAGCAGCAGGGGCCCAGCAGTGACGTCAGTGGATGAGGCATCCCGAGACTTTTCACCGAGCTCCCTCCACCCTCGTGCCCAGCACGGGGCCTAGAACATGTGGCTCCCCAGGTGCTGCTGTGGACAGAGCCCTTAGGGCACGTGGGCCTTCATGGATCTGGTTGGGGAAATGCCTCCATCCTTCCCTCCCTAGGTTGAATCCTCTGCAGGGAGCAGTTAGCAAACGTCTGTGTGTCTAGAACATGCTCTTTGTTTACCTCCCCCTCATTAGTTTAATCTAATTTGGGTACCTTTTCAAATGTGACTCCAAACTGGAGTTTCCATTCTGTGGGTCCCTGGGAGCCCAAGAGCCCCTGCCAATGTGCCACTAATGGGATTGGGGAAGGAAGGAGGCTCACAGTCTGCAGTCTCCGCTCACTCCCTCACTCCAGTGTCGCCCTGCAGTTCCCTGTTCCCGTTCCGCTATCTCTTCCGAAAGAACCAGAACCGCAGGTGATCCTTCAAGCTAGAGGCCCCTCTCCAGCCAGAGCTCTCCAGCCAGACCCTTCCAGCTGCACCTCAAGGCAACCAGAGGAGGAAGCCTTCAGAACTGAGTGCTCCTGTGGCCTTAGCCTGTTTCTTGTCCCTTACTATCAAGTGTTTGTCCCCATTTATCACAAGGAAAAGAGAATGGAATTTTGAAAAATGTTCCCAGCTTAGAATTTTACTACCCTGAGGGCCAATCTAGGTTGTCTGTTTCAGCACTTAGGATCCTAATGACAATAAATTATTGATGAAGAGTTATTATTGATTGAATTTAGTGATGTAGAGAAATTAAGAGAGGCCAGCCTCACCCCTCAGGATACAGGGATTTCTTGAAGCCCCTAGGTTTGCCTGGGTAAGTGGGACCAGTACCCAACCTTGTCCTGGGAGCAGCCCCACTGAGGGAAAGGCCTTGAAGGGGTCTTGGAAGTGCCCTGAGCCCTGCTGACCCTCAAGAAATCGGTCTCCTCCCCACTCTGCCTAGCATGACCCCCAGTGGGGCCTTAACATGTTTCCTGCCCTCTCCAGCCCCTCCCTCACTAGGGGTGCACATCCCCCGGAAGGGGGTTAGCCGGGTCCCACCTGGGACAGACAGCAGACATCTGTAGCTGCAGAGGACCAGAAGAAGAGGGAAATAGAGGGGATCCAAGTATAAAAAAAATTTTTTATAATACACAGTAAAACATACACTAATTCAGTAGTTTCTGAAAGGTCCAAACTCACTATGAAGTCCAGAAGTGAGCCCAGCTGAGTGTATGGTGAATATACTCTTTTTAAAATGCTCACTTTGGGGAAAGTGGGCTGAGGCTCAGTTAGCATCAGCACCAAAGAGGAACAAAGAATATCCGTTCTACATGGGCCAGTCGGGCGTGGGCCCAGCAGTTTGAAGGCATGGGGCCATTTCTCTTTTTCAGCACTTGCCAGTTTATTTCCTGGGTGGGTCATAAAACTGTTTAGAGGTAAACCTTAACATTACTTACCATTTCCTGGAACATACAGATGTATTCTGGTGAAGTCAGAAAGGTCAGCAAAATGGAGTGGCTTCGGTTTCAACCTTGCAGTGTCCACTTGGCACAGCTGAGTGACCGGGATTACATTCTTGCATTGTGTGAAGATTCCCACCCCTTTCTCTGAGGGCCAGTCGCTTAACGTAAGGGGCCACTGAACAGCGGCTGGCCTGGGAAGCTGCCTGAGCTCCAGGCCATGAGGATGCCGAGGGAGCCCTGGATCCTGGTCTTGCCCTTCGGTGTGGAGGAGAGGCTGTGGGCTGGTAATACGGATGCTGGGAGTACTAGCTGCTCTCAAAGGCGTTGACATCCTCTGCCCCTTTGTCCCATACACTTTACAAAACCTCGAGAACCAGTAGGGCAGAGGGTCTGACGCCACACCATCTAGCAGAGTAACCTAGGCACGGAACTTTCCTCTGGGCTCTTCTTTTCTCATCCAGGACACAAAGGACACAGACGTGAACAGACTGAAGACCCCAGCCCTGCTCTGCTCCTCCTAGCTGCTTGGGGCAGGGCCCTAACCACAGCAGGCTCCCCGAGGTCCCCTCGCCTCCCAGTCCCTGGACTTCAGCTCTTCGTGTCTTGTCCTCATTTCCCACATCATACCATTCCTACGAGAGAGAGGGAGCCAGGTGGCATGACTGGACTCACTGGCACTGGGCAGGTTCCCTTCCTTATTCCAGGTCCCTCCAGGTCATGCCCACTGGAGCTGAAGCACAAGATAAGGAGTTAGCCAGCCGACAACATAAAAGTGAAACCAGCAGCTTTAGTCCTGGGGCAGTCTTCAGACACACCTTTGGAGACCCTGCGGGGGGGCATCCTTGTTGTCACGCTCTCAGAGCCCCTTCCTCTGCAAGGCCAAGTTCAGGTGGTAGCTGGTGGGCAAGGAATCATCCTGCCCGAGGTCAAAAAGGAGGGAATTCAGGTGACCCCAGCTCCTCCCAGGAGCTTGACCTCTCTAACCCTGACCTTGGAGATTGGTTTCCCAGGTGGGATGCCCCCAGCATCTAGGCAGGCATGAAAGCTGAGCCCTGTGAGGGCGGGGCTCCCAACAGTGCACCACAAATAAAAGCCCGGGAGGAGCCGAGCTAGACTCAAGACCAGCAGGAGGCAGCAGCAGGAGGCACCCCGGCTCTCAGCTACCCAGTTCCCCTTGGAGTGGTGAGCACACAGGGGGCAGGGGGAGGTGCTGCACCCCAGGCCTTGAAGGCAGAGTAGAGGGAGGATAAGTGTGTGAGGGTGACACACGTACAGGACGGTGTCCCACACGCAGTGACACTGTGGGGTGACACACCTCCACAGGGAAGGGCTGGCCCAGCACAGGCACCATCTAAGGACACCCCAACCTCCACACCCAGGTACGGGCAGATCCCCCTTGAGCCTTATGTCCATGGCATCTCTGCGAACCCCGCTCCTTTGCCTGCTGGTCCTTGTGGTCACTGAAGGCTGGGCCCAGCAGACCTTGCTCCCCGGCTGCTACATGCGCCGTAAGTACCGAGTACCAGACCAAAGGCTGGGGGGCAGGTGCGCCCTATCCACAGCCCCCCCAGAGGCACAGGCTGCAGCTGGACACACCTGTCCTTCCAGCCCTCAACGTGACCGTGCGCAGCGACCGCCTGGGCAGCTGCCGGGGCTCCCGAGTGGTGCTGGGGTGCGCAGGATACTGTGAGTCCAGCAGCTACCCCTCAGAGTACTCCGTGATGGAGGCCACCGACTACCGCCACAACATCACCTCAGTGTCACAGTGCTGCACCATCGGCAGCATGCGGAAGGTGAGGGGTGGTGGCCGGGCGGGTGGCGGCAGGGAGTGGTGGAGGGCTGTCCCCTGGTACTGACCCAGCCTCTCCCCAGGTGAAGGTGTGGATTAAGTGCCCAGGCGGCTGGTACAGGGGCATGGATATTTACACTGCCAAAACCTGCAAGTGCGAAGCGTGCCTCTTCTGGCGCTACTAGACCCCCTGTCCCCCCCACCTACCCAGGCAGCATGGCCAATGACCACATGGCTCCCCAAGTGCCAGCCTTGCCCAGGGCACCTGGTGAGGCTTTTGCAAAGGAGAGGTCACCACTCCCAGCATCTGAGATGGTGACAAGAGGGGTCTGTCCCTCCTGGCCTCCACCCAGTCCCTGTCGCCAGCTTGTCTCACCCTCTCTCCCCCTTTTGCCCCTTCCCAGCTAAATAAAGCAAGCCATTCCATGTTTCTCTCTTTATTGAGGCCGCCCCCAGCCAGGGGAAGGGGGCTAGCTCACGACCACTGACCCCCCCTGCCCAGGACACTGGGAATCTTCTTGTCTGTGCCCTCACCCCTCCCCCTGCCCAATAAATAAAAAGGGGACGCGGACACACAGGGCAAGGGAGAGGAGGGAAAGAGCCTGTCCCAGGCCCAGGCCAGTGTCTGTGGTGGGGGACGTGGGGAGAATAAATAGACCATGGATCCCATGGTGGGGTGAGGGGGCCTCGCGCTGGCACGAGTGGGTGGGTGCAGGGAGCAGGGCGGGAACCTGCCTGCAGTCGAGCCCAGCCAGCCTTATGGCAGAGGGCAGGTTCCTGGTGGTAGCTTCCTGGTCACGCTTGGCCTGTCCTAGCCAAGCCCTGCTGTGAGGGCCTGAGAGTTCGATTATGGAGTCCACCATCTCTCCTCTTCTCTTTCCCCAGCCCAGCAGAGCCTCCCTCGAGGGCCGGGAGATGTCCTCAGAGCCATCTGCCCAGGCTGGGGAGGTGTGTGTCTCTAGACTGAAGGGATGGAGGGACCAGTGGCCCTGGGCTTCACGTCCTCCTTAATCGGTCTCTAGCTCTGTCCCCCACTGGCGGCCACCTGGGGTGCAAGCCGCTGGAGAGCAGCCTCCCTGGCGCCTTGGGTTCCCTGTAGCCGGCGCAGCCGTAGCTCCTCCAGCCCTTGCCACAGTTCCTGACGTTCCCGGGCCTTCTGCTGTTCCCTGCAGGGAGACGGTGAGGCACCCCTAGAGGATCCTCCACTGAAGACAAGGGCACCAGGGGTAGGTGACCCCAGAGGGCTGCCTGAAGGGAGCCCCCCAACCCTGGCCACAGTGGGCAGAGGGACACTTGACCTCCCTGATGTGCTGGGGCCTAGGAGGGTCCTCCAGGGACTCCTCCAACCCCAGGATCCAATTCCTTCCTGCCCAGCCCCCACTCACTGCTGCTTCTCCAGCTTGTAGGAGGCGGTGAGCTCATCAAACAGCTTCCCATTCATCTCCATGAAGGTCTTGAGCACATTGTAGATTAGGGAGACGATGGTTCTGGGCAGGGCAGAGGGAGGGAGGGAGTGAGGGATGGAGGAAGGGACGAGCACAGAGCAGCTTCCACTTGGATGTCCAGCACCAACCAAATGACCCATCCATCCCGATGCTTTCATCAGGGGGGCCTCGCCTTGGGCCACCCTCACTGACCCTTCGATCAGGTCCCCCTCCTCCCCCTCCTGTCTCAGGATGGCAGGCACTCACTGATTCCAGTGCTCCTTGGACACCTGGTAGAGGGTCCCAAACACAGCAGGCAGCACAGTGTGGCAGTTGTCCTCAATGAGGCTCAGGATATACTCGTTGTTCCAGAAGTACAGAGCCCGCTCTGCAACCTGGGCCATGAGACAGCAGGGGCCAGCCCACCCCTGGTTCTCCCAGGATACCAAGCCCAGCATCCCCTCACTGCTGGACCCACGAGGAAGGGACCCAGAGGGCAGAGGGCACTGTGTCAGGTCCACCAGCCCATGCCTCCTGGCATTCCCCGCCCATTCACACCCAATCTTGTCCTGTACCTGGAAATGGGGGCTGGAGACACAGCGAGCCACCTGCTTGAAGAGGGGCTCCTGGATCTTCACGAACTGGGAGGGCTCAATTACGTCAAGAATCTCTTCCATCTCCCCCAGAAACATCACCTAAGGGGTGGGGGAGAGGGCAGCACTCACAACTCACCCCTCAGCAGCTCTCCACCCACTCCAGGGACAGTGGACCCTTGTCTGTACCTCCTTCTGGGTGCAGGTTTTGGGCCAGTACTTGAGCAGCCCCCGGATCACCTGTGGGGTCGAGGCAGAAAGGAGTCAGCCCTGCAGAGGTAGGGGCCCACCATCCCCCACAGGTACTCACATGCTCTGTCAGGGTGGCATCCTTCTCCAGGAACTGAACCACACAGTAGGCCAGCTGTAGGGGGACAGGGAGACTGGGATCAGGGGATATCAGGGACCAAGGACTAGACACCAGGAAGGGCCAAGGCGGGGCTCCCATGCCATGTGGTCAGTTCAGTTTAACAGCCTTTACTGGACACGTACAGGGACCAGCGAGGGCTCAGGGGAGGGGGAAAGCAAGGCTGGGAGTGCTCAGCAAAGCTCTGTTACAGACTCCCGAGTCCCCATCTACTGGCCAGTGGGGAGGATGCTTCATTCTGTCCAGGCCAGGGGAGTGAGTGGCCTCCCAGAGTTGCTGTCTGAGATGAGTCTTAAAGAGTCAGAGGGAATCCTCCAAAGGAGGCTGCCAGAATCAGTGAAGGAACCCATAGGAGAGGATCGTGTGAGTGGGGGACCCGGGGCGGCTGGCACCTGGCTGTGGACACAGCTGGGCTGTTGGGTGGTGGGAGCGCCCTGCTGACTGGGCCGGGCTGGCCTCACCTGGGCATGAAAGACAGACAGTGACTTGACGGAGTGCAGGGGGATCAGGACGCGGACCAGGAACTGCTTGTGCTCGGTCTTCAGTGGCAACGCAAATCCGTTGATGATACTGAGGAGGGGCAGGTGGGAGAAGAGGGCTCAGTGGACGGGCCCAGGGCCCAGGTCCTCCTCCCAGGACCTCGAGGGACCAGCTCAGGCCCAGGGGAATCACCTTCCCAGAATCTCCAGCAGCTCGGCCACGCCATTGAAGTGCTCGAGCTCATAGATGAACCTGCAGAGGAGAAAGGATGGCAGACAGGGTCTGTGCCCACCTTCATGCCAACCCAACTCTCCCAAGTCACACCCAACTAGCTCAACCCCTAACCTCTCACGGCCTGTTACCCAGTCAGCAGGCCCTAATCCTATGATCGCCGCCTCACGCTATCAATCAAAACAAGGGCAGAGACTGAGCAGCTCCTTGACCAGGCATCCTCAAAACAGTCCCAAGAAGTAGAGTGGACCAACTGTCAAACAAGAAAACACTTGCCCCTGAGCCCCCCACCAACAACGTGTCCACTACTCGTGGATCGGAGCAGAACGAGGTCACTAGACTTTTCTTCCAAGGCACCTCTAAAGAATATAAAATGCCACCTTTTGGAATTTGCTAACATGCAGGGACTCCTAGACCCACTCTTCAGGCAAAGAAAAGGAGACTTAAAGTGTAAGAACCGCCTGCATGTAAATGAAACTTGCTCCTTAGTAAGCGGAGAACTAAAGGGACCACGAGCTCCGAGGCTGGGGATCATGTTTTCTCTATTTTGTAGCCGTAACAACAGCAGCTAACCTGAGAGTCCCAGCCTGGGCGTGGGAGCTGGGGTGTGCTCTGGGGGCTGCCCTGCATGCCGTGTGGCTCGCTGGGCTGGGGTCAGCACTGTACTTGTTCAAGAGGAAGGAGCCAAGAGGGGCTTCAGGAGAAGCTCACAGACCAGCTGGGGATGAGGGCTGCAGAAACTGGACCCAGTGTGGATGCCCTGGTCAACTTCAGACACAGGGGGAGGGGGGTCCCAAGCATTGGCGCCCTGCACACATTTGCAGGGCCTCCTCTTTCTTTGGGTCTTATATCAGGCGTGAATAGGGTTGTAAGGGGCCCAGGCCCTGACAAGCCCCCACAAACCTTTCACTCAGTCCCAGTGGCCTCTTCTGCAAACTGAAAACATCCTTTCCTGACTGAGCTCCCTGCTCTGTGTGATCAACCAGCAGCCCAGGCCTCTATAAGCCAGAGGTTCACCCACAGCCTCAAGCTGCCCACAGCCCAGCCTGTCTCTCCTCCTGCCCTAGCCCTGGGCCCCAGGCGGGGACGCTCACCGAAGGAAGATGTGGTTACACTGCTTGCGGATGTAGGCCCGCAGCCCCAGAAATTTGCCATAGACCCGGTGCAGGATGGTCTTGAGGTACTCGCGCTCCCGGGGGTCCTCACTATCAAACAGCTCCAGGAGCTGGGAGACCCAGATGAGGAGTCAGACCAGAAGCCACCCCCACATGTGGCCATCCTCCCTTCTGTCCCTGCCCCCTTGCCCAGCCTGGGACACCCCCCCCCACTTCACCATCAGGACAAACTTCTGATCCACGTATCTCTTGGCCACGGAGGGCTGGAAATCGGGACTCTCCAAGAAACGCAGGAAGAACTCATAGACCAGCTGAAGGTAGAGAAAAATCCAAGTCCAGTTGACTAGAGTCCCCCTCTCGCCCACCTCACGGCACTCACGGGACGCCCAGGACCTAAGGAGCTCCTCTCCCACTGGCTCTGACCTGCAGGTGTGGCCACGAAGGCTCAAGGTTGGGCTCATCCTCTTCGGGATCAAACTCAGGGTTCTCACTGGGCGGCAAGGTCCGGAAGATGTTCACTGAGATCTGTGGGCAGGGTGGGGCTCTTCAAGGAAGATGGCTGCCGAGGGTCCCTCATCCTAGGGGGTCCACCTCAGCATATGCTGACTGCTCAGGGGCTGGTTCCTGGACAGTCATTGGATCGTGGCAGTGAGAGCCAGCCCCAGCCCAGGGTTGGGGTCCTGGGTAGCCAAGCCCACCCCTCCAGCTGGGCTAGCAGGTGCAGAACAGTGGGAGTACTCCCAGATATTCCGTCCCAGGCAAGTGAGCCCCAGTTTGGGCCCTGAAAGAGGACTCTGTTGAAGAGGGAGCACCAGGGCCAGGGCATGGAAGGGGACACAAGGTCTCGGAAATCAGAGCAAAGGTGTGGAAGTAGGACAGGCTGGGGATATATGGGGACCCTGACGGGAATACAAAGTGGGGGCTGGATGGCCAAGTGGCAAGTGTGGGGATATATGGGGACCCTGACAGGAATACAAAGTGTTGGCTGGATGGCCAAGTGGAGAGTGTGGGTAGTCTGATTGGCCCAGACGCTGGGTGCCTTATACCCATCCCGGCCGGTTCCCACACTTACCATGCGGATGATGTCTGGGTACACAGGCTCAATGAGGACACCCCGTGTGCTCCCCACACACTCCACCAGCTCATTGAGGGCCGCCCGCTTCACCTCCTTCCCCTTCAGGTCAGCCACGCAGTCCAGGAAGTCAAACACCACCCCGCACTGGGCCAGCTTGCGGCTCAGCAGTTCATGCAGCTCCGAGGCTGGCACATCTGGGGAGCGAGGGTCACTGAGTCAGGGGGGGGGGGGGGGGGGGGGGAGGGGCCCTCCTGACCCCTGCAGAGCCAACAGCTCTGTCCCTTCTAGGAGAGGGGAGCAGGCAAGGGGTGGTATCCTCACTCAACCCCCAACCCAGGCCCAGGATATACACTGGTCTCTTTCTGAACAAGGCCATCAGTGGGAAGAGGTGGCCTGCTTTCCACTCACATGTGGTACTCTGTTCAAGGATGCTTAGGCCAGGGAACCCCTAGGGTCCACTCTGGCTTGGGCAGTCCGACCCTGTGACCTGGGGTGAGGCCACACAGTGACGTAAGGGAGTCAGAGTACTGACCAGCAGCTGGCTGGGCAGCTGGTGGCCTCCTGGAGCCTGGCTGCAGCCCCACCCTTGGCTTGGCCTGCCCCCCAGGATGGCGCCACAGGCAGATGCCCCACCCCCCCACCCCCCCGGGGATGACAGTGAGGCCATGCGTCAGCAAAGAGCACTGGAGGGCTGGCGTGGGGTGGCAGGGTCTCTGGCAGTAGGGCACCCAGTCTGGGTATCCCCTAGAGCCCAGGCTCCTGGGGTCCCTCACCTTTGAGCAGGGGCAGCGGTGTCAGCTCTTGCTGGTTGCTCTGATATCGGAACTGTGAGGAGCTGTGGGAGCGCCGGGGCCGGGCCCTGCGCAGGGAGCGCCGGGAGAAACCGTCCACCTTGTCCGGAGGGGGCACAGGCGACAGCCCTGGGGATGAGGGGCTGGTGGGGGTGCTCGCAGGGGGCAGCTTCGTCTCCATGGTGGCCAGGCAGAGGTCAAGGCTTGAGAGCCCCCAGGGGTCCCTCAGGGCCTGGAGGATGCAGGGTGAGGCCAGGCTCACTAAGTGGGACCCATCCTGCAGTGGGGGGGGCCACGACCACAGTGCTGGGCCCCCCCCAGGGCCTCTGGCAGCTGCCCAGTCCTGGGGGGGCAGGCAGGCTAGAGAAGAGGTCGGCTCAGGCCTCAGGTCCTTCCTGGGGGATCCCACAGAATGCTGTTAGGGTTCCCACTTGGCTCTTTGGAAAACGATGGCAAGGCAGAAAGGTGGACAAAAAAGAGAGAGATCGAGATCTGGTCAGGCTAGCTTTCCGCAGAAGAGCGAGGTCGGGGCTGCAGCGGCGGTGGTCCCCTCCTCGGCTAGGCCGCCCAGACCCTAAAACAGGTGCAGCCCCCTCCCATGGTCTCCAGACCAGACCGCAGGCCTCCGGCTCCCCAACAACCCCAATCCCTCAAAGACAGCCCCGGCTCGGAGTGGGGATCCCCAACGCTGCCCTTTACAGAATGGGGCCCTGGCCCTTCCAAGAGCTCCTCTCATGGGTCCCCTTCCCCAGGAACCTTCCCCCACCTCAGCTTCTCCTTCCTCGGCCCCCCAAACCTCGTTACCCCCCCAATGAGGGGTTACAACTCACTTCTCAGAAACCCAGACTGTGGGCCCCAAGCCCCAAAGGTTTCCCGCGGGAGCAGCGGGCAGCGGCGCCGCTCAGGGCGCCAGGGCTGGGCGGCGGCGCGCCTGGGTTCTCCCGGGGGCTTCGGGGGGCTGCAGCATCCCCCCGGCTCAGCCCCGGGCCGGGGCGCGGGCGCACGGCGGGCCGGGCTGTCCCTGCGGCGCAGACCTCAGCTTGGGGCAGCCCCGGAGCGGCGCGGCGCCGCGGACCCGGCTCGGCGCACCGGCACCCGCGCCCAGCGCTCAGGATGACATCAAGTCACCTCCCCCCGCTCCCCGCACCTCCCCGCGGGCGGGGGGCGGGGGCTGCGCCGGGCGCCCGGGGGCCTCTGGGAGATGTAGTCCGCGCTCCGCTTAAAGGGGCGGCCGCATCCGCAAGGGGACTCAGCGCGCCGACTCCCATCGGGGGGAAGGCTGGTTCCATGTCTGGAAGCCAGAGCACGGTGTGGCCTGCTGGCCTCGCCGGAGCTGGACCTCGGCTTCTGGAAGAAGTCTGGATGGCGCATGAGTAGGACCCAGGAGTTTGCACCGGGAAGCTGGGGGGATGCTAACACGCCGGCCCAAGAGGGACCTGCATCCTACGCCAGGCCCAAGGATTGCCTAATACGCCTCGTCCCAGGCCACTGCCATGGGAACACCACTTCGGAGAGACTGGACCCATCAAAGGCCCCCCGCCCAGGAGCATGCAACGGACGGGTTAATAATCTGAGGGGTGTCAGGACTGCTGGGAGGGGTGTGGTTCCCCAGAGGATGCTGGGAGATGCAGTCCGTCCTCAGGCCTGCAGTCCCCCTCCCGCCGGTACTGGCTATGGTGACATCATGGTCTAGGGTTTAAAGGGCCAGTCCTGAGGTGGCAAAGCGCGGAGCAGGTGTTGCCTGGGCGCTGCCTTACCACGCCAGACAGGTTGGCCTGTCTGGGAGAACCTCTCAGTCTGTCTGGTCCCTGGGGTGCACTAAGCGAGGTTCTTGGTTCCAAGCTCTGTGTCGCGGTGCAGGGGTTCTGGGCACACACAGGTACCAGGAGTTTGGCTCAAAGTTCCCAACCTTCAATCCCAGGAGTCAGTCACAACCCTTTGTTCATCCTGAGCCCAGCCTCCTGCACCACCTGGGAGTCCACACCCTGAAGTTCTGCTTATGGGCTGAGGAGCAGGAGTGGGCAGTGAGGTCAAGGAGGGAGGCCAGATCCCTTTCTGTGACTGCCACAGGGGCAGACTGGGTTCCTGCAGGAACGCAAAATGCAGGGCCTGCAGCCCACCTGGCTCCGGGATTGGACTACCTTGCTCAGAATCTTCAGCAGACCACCCCTCTCTGGGCCCCAGTATCTCCTCTATTAGGGGAAACCTATGAGCTCTCTCTTGGCCCACCTACCAGAGCCTCCCCTCAATCCCTATGGGGGACTCCAAGGACTGAGCTCTCTCAGCCCACCTACAAGGTTCCTCCAAACCCCTAGAGGAGACTCCAAGGCTTTCTAAGCCCACCTACAAAGTTTCCCCAAACCCCTAGAGGAGATGCTAAGGCTCTGGATGATAGAGGAGAGCCTCCTCTATCTACCTCCCAGCCCAGCTCTGGAGAAAACCTCCTCCAGCCCCTCACTGCTATCCTGGTGGGCCATGCCCTGGACACCCAGCGTCCCAGCCCACACCCACCATGGAAGGCCAGGGTTCTGCACAGGGAGGGTCACCATTGTTGTAAGGGGGTAAGGGAGGAGAAGAACTTGAAAATAATTGCAAGAAGTGCCATTGAACCAGGCTTCAAATTTGGTTCAAGAGTTGCTGGACGAGAAAGTGTGACTCACTGGCCACTGGTGTCTGCAAAGCCACGTGCAAGGAGATGCCCCAGGAGCCACTGAGGGCAGAGACAACACATCAACCCAAAGGTGGCCCGGTGGGATACTAAGTTGTCCAGTTCAAAATCAGGAGGCACACAGCTCTGAGCGAGCTGATGGGCTACTGTGAGCAACAGGGCTTGTCAATGAGAGACTGGGCTTGATGAGCCAACACCCTTATGCAACTGGAGACAGATGGTGAATCCCATGAAGGTTGGCACAGGGGCTGCCACAAACCTCTTAGGATGTGACTGCTAGGGAAACTGCCTCACACTCGTGTCACCTGTCCTTGCGTTGTTGTTATGTGCGCCTACAACTCATAGCGACCCTATGTATAACATACCCAAACCCTGCTCTATCCAGTGCCAATCTCATTGTCTCTGACACACCTATCCCCATTACCCCAGTCACTGAATCAATCCATCCCATAGAGGGTCTTCCTCTCCTGCACTGTCCTTCCACACTTCCGAGCATGACGTCCCTCTCCAAGGACTGGTCCCTCCTTGCAACATGTCCAGACAAAGCTTCAGAATCCTTGCCTCCAAGGAGCAGCCGGATCTCACTGTCTCTAGGATGAACCTGTTTGTTCTCCTACCAGTCCATTCAGCACTCTTCTCCAGCACTACATGCGTTGGGGACCCAGTAATCAACACTTAAACACACCAACACTGTCCATAGACCGCAGGATGGTCACCAAATGACTTCTCTCTCTCTCTCTGAAGCTCTTCGAGTGCAACGCAACACTATTCCTGCAGCGACTGATCAACAGCAGAAATTATGCCAACAAACGCTGCTATCTTTGTTTAGATAAAACGCATTCTGAGGATTGGGGGGGGGGCTCAATTTTGGTTTTTCCCTCCTCGAACATCCTTGCTCCAAGTTTGGGGCCTGTCTGTTTTCAGTCTGAGGATGGCTAGCTCCCTCCCACCCTGCTATCTCCTTTCAGCCCACTGCTTCATCTAATCAAGCAGGTCCAGAGCGCAGGTGTGCTGCAGCGGGGGCTTGCCCTGCACCTGTGTTGGGAATGGAAGACAAAGCTCACTTGCTGTTTGGTGGCGGTGTTAGGAGCCATCAGGTCGAGTACAACACATCAGATCAGACCAGAGAACAGATCAGAACCCTGTCCTATCCTGTTCCATCTTCATCATCCCTGACAAACTCAGGCCCATTGCTGTAGTCACCATGTCAGCCCATCTGATTGAGGGTCGTCCTCTCTGTCGCCGACCCTCCACCTTTCCAACCCTGAGGCCCCTTCCTAAGGAATAGTCTCTCCTAACAACACGAACAGGTATGTGAGAGGGTTCAAATCCACCGGGTGCTCTGCTGGAGTAGAAGGGGCAATCTCCTCCTTTGCCAGTCAGATCTGATATGACAGTACATAACAAGAAAAGAAAGAGAAAGGAAGGAGGAAGGGAGGGAGGGAGAGAGGGAGGGAGGAGAGAAGGAAGGAAGGAGGGAAGGAAAGAGGAAAGGAAGGAAGGAAGAGAGAGAAGGAAAAAGAAGGGGGGGGGAGAGAAAGGAAAAAAGCCACCAAAAAAAAAGAAAAGAAACCCTCCCAAGTATGTGAGATGAAGCTTTGTCAGCCTTGCCACTCTGGCTGTACCCTCTCCATGGCATATCTGTCCATTTGTTCGGCAGTCTAGAGGATATTCAGTACTCTTCCCTGGCACCACAGCTCAAAAGCATCAATTCTTATTCTGTCATCATTACTCATTGTCCAGCTCTCAGATGCATAGCAAGTGACAGAAAAGGCAATGATCTGAATCAGAAGTGCCTTAGTCTTCAAACTGATATCATTGCTCCTCAGTAATTTGGAGATGTCCCTGACTACAGACTTGCCCAAAGCAATACCTCTCCTGATCGCCTGACTGCTGATAACAAAGGTGTTGCTTGTGGATCCAAGCAAGATGAAATTGTTGACAATTTCAATCTTTTCTCCTTCTTTCATGATGTTACTTATTGGTCCAGGGGTGAGGATTTTTTTTTTCTTCTTGATGTTGAAAGGTGTAATCCTTGGTCTTCAGCAGGAAACATTTCAAGTTCTCCTCAGTTTCAGCAAGCAAGGTCGTGTCATCTGCATAACACCCTCTATCTTTCCTCGCTTGATGTCTCTCTCTGAAGACTAGTCCCTCCTGAAATTATGCCCAAAGTAAATGTGATGAAGTTAGATGGGAAGAGTCTTAAGATGGATTGACACAGTGACCGCAGGAATGTGCTTGAGCGTGACAGACGTTGTGAGGATGATGCAAGGCAGGCCAAGGTTCAGATCTGCTCATAGGGTCGTTATAAGTCATAGTTAACAATACCAAACAACAGTCTATTCAGGGAGTCTGATGGCCTAGAGGGTAAGGAATTGCACTGCCAACCCAAAAGCCAATGGTTGAAATCCACCAACTGCTCCTCCAATCTCCTCTGGTATAAATTACGGCCTCTGACAACCCACTAGAAGATCAGCCATGAGTCTATTCCTTCTCCACGGCACTGAGGGAGTGAGTGACAGTATATTCAATACTCTTCTCTAATTCCACAGTTCAAAGCCATCGATCAGTGCTTCTTCGGTCTTCCTTAGTCACTGTCCAGTTTGCACATACAGAGGCAGCATCTGAATATTCCAGAGCTTGGGTCAAGTATGCATCATCAGTCTCTAAACTGGCACCCTCACCCTTTCACCATAATTCCTCTTTGGTACTGTGGCCTCAGATTTCTCCCAGTATTTGCTTCTGAGGCGTAGGTATGATCATACATTAGAAAGGGTTGCTGGCTTTGCAGTCCCGTTGCTGTAGCACGGTCACAAAGAAAACCTCTCCAATTCCTGAATCTCTGCATTAGTTCAGAGGTTAGTGTACATCTGAGAGTTGGACAATGAATACGGATGATGGAAGAAGACTCAATGTCTTTGAATTGTAGTGTTGGAGAAGAGTACTGGACATCAGATGGCCATGGCACCAGAAATACCATTGCTGATTTCTGATGGATCCTGGACGGAAGCAAAGAACACCAGGAGGATGTCTCTCTGTGTTTTATTGGCCATGAAAAGGCATTTGACTGTGTGGATCACAACAAATTATTGTGAACATTGAGAAGAATGGGAATAGTGCTTATGCAAAACCTATACCTAGATCAAGAAGCTGTTGTTTGAACAAAGCAAGGGAACCCTGCATGGTTTAGAATCAA